ATTCTGCACTGACCCCACCCAGCCCCAGCCCGGTTCTGGCTTTGTAGCTGCTTTCTTTCTCTCCCTGTGCTCATTTTGCTCAGTGCATTCTTCCACCGAAATCTTTCAGAGTTTGCAAATCAGACTTCCCTTCCTGCATGCTTTGTCAAAGCTGTGATGCTGTGTGAGGCAGTTTCTCTCTCTGGAGTGGTGATAGGTTCCCAGGTCACTGAGTGTTCTTTTCTTTCTTTCTTTCTTTCTTTTTTTCTTTCTTTCTTTCTTTCTTTCTTTCTTTCTTTCTTTCTTTCTTTCTTTCCTTCCTTCCTTCCTTCCTTCCTTCCTTCTTTCCATAAGGAACCATCAAGAAAAATTTGTTTATTTTAGGGATAGGGTGGGGTGAGTTTCTGCCCAAATTCTCTGACTAAACAATAAAAAAGATGAGCAGGGATCGGGATGGGACGCCAGGACCTATGGTCCAGGGAGAGGTGGCAGGGCCAAGCGATTAAGCCGTGTGATATGTGGGTGACTCCCGGCAGGGCTCTCAGTCTTGGTCTTTGCTGTGTGTGATCACTGGTTCTCTGTCTGTCTGTCTGTTTGTCTCTCTCTCTCTCTCTCTCAGAGATTAAGTTACCTCTAGTTCATGCTTTCTGGCTGAGATTCCTGGGGCATGGGGTGGTGGACAGTGGACACCTTTGATATCCTGACTTTTTCTCTTTTTTCTATGTTGTCCCAAATGTTCTAGCACCGGGATTTGAACCCAGGACCTTCACACTGAGCTACATCCCCAGCCCTTGTTATTTCTTCCTTTGAGATAGAGGTCATTCTCCTTAAGTCGCTAACTTGTCCAGACAGGGCTTGAATGCTCCACCTCCCTGCCTCAGCCTCCTGCAGTGCTGGGATTGTGGTTGTGCGTTGCCATGCCTGGAGATGGCTTTTAGAATGCAGACTTTGCAGCCCGCCCCATTTTGACCATCTCTTACCCCATCCCTTCCAGGCATCTGTTACTTCACCAAGAGACAGAAAACGCCACCAATGTGCTAGAAATTAGAAACGATACACAGCGAGAGTGACCGAGGGATTTAAAAACCGTGGCGGGGTGGGGGAAGCCGATCCTTAGAGCGAAACGCATCTGGACTGAGTCTGTCTCCAGCTCCCGGCAGAGCTCACCATGATTGTGTGTTTCTGGGCCCAGTGGCCAGAGCTTGCCTGGCGGGGAACAGTCTGGGGGTGGGGTGAGCGGGACACGACATTATCTACAGGAATAAATCCAAGGCCACAGCATCCCTTCCCGAGCCTTTCCCCTGCCTTCTTGCTTTCGAGGAAACCTGATGCCTGCCAGCATCGGCACCATCCACCTTCTCCCCGCTCGGTGCAGAGTGAGCACCTGCCACACACACAGCGCCTGTTGGTGACGGCCATGAGTGACAGCCATGTGTGACAGCCATGTGTGACAGCTGCCCCAGCTCCTTCCCCTGGGAGTGGGGAGGACTTCTGCTTCCTGGCTGGGTCCCCAATGGAGATTCCTGAGATAACCATCCTGAGATGCCACTAGGTCCCCAAGAGAAGCCACAGCCACCGTGAGAGCTGGTGTCAGCCCCACAGATTGTCACCAAATTGCCCTCAAGGGCAGGGAAAGGCTGAGTGGGACCCATCACCCCAGAAGAACCCCGAACAGGCTGTCGAGTTATGCTCTAGAGAGCAGCTGTCAGACACTGTCCGGGCAGATGCTTTGTTTAAACATTTTTCCTTAAGATTGTGTGTGTGAAGCCGGGCGTGGTGGCTCATGCCTGTAATCCCAGCACTCGGGAGGCTGAGGCAGGAGGATCATTTCGAGTTCAAGACCAGCCTGAACTGCACAGCGAGACACTGTCTCAAAAAGATAAAAAAAAGATTGTGTGTGTGCGTGTGTGTGCACGCGTGTGTCTGTCCTGTGCATATCCATGTGTGCATAGGTGTGTTTCATGCATGTGGATTTACACTGTGCACATGCATGTTGTGTATATGCGTGGACCTGTACTGTGCGTGCACCTGTATATGTGTACACACATAACATGCGGTGTGGGGGTGCTTCCTGCAGCGCCCCCAGGCTTGTGAAATTACTGCAGTCCCAGACATCGTCATCAACATCCACTGAGATCTGTCTGAGGAGAGTGGCTTGCTCTTCTGGTCATCCCCGCTCTGATTCCCATCTCAGGCTGTGAGCTGTTTCTTACTGTGTTTCTAGAGCATCTTCCAGAAAGCCGGCAGCTTGATTAAACTGGAAGGGCCACCGCCGTGTCTCTGACTCAGGCCCTGCTTGCTGACTCTGGGCTGAAGCTTTGGGGCCTTCGAGCTCCTCCGCTGCCAGCTCCCGCCCCTCATTTGCTTATCTGCAGGGGAAGTGTCAGAGACTGAGAGATAAGACTCCTGAGAAACTGGCTCTGCGGCAGGAGGCTGAAGCAGGCGTCCTGGGGACGGGCAGGCGGGCAAGGTGGCCAGGCACAGCTTCTCTGCATCCTGAAGGCCACTTTGGGAGGCCTGAGGCTCTGGTCCAGCGATTGTGGTGTATTCCAGGCTCTGGAGATAGGACGGGGCAAGAAGACAGAAGTGAAGTGACAAGAGTCAGGCAGAAGGTTTTCTGCGTGGAATGGAGAGATGCACTTAAGTGACGGGTCCCAAAACGGCCACCAACATTTCCTTTAATCATCTGTTCACTCAAAGCCATCCAATAAAAGATTGCAAACCACATAAAACTGTAAAAGCTCAGGCCAGGATACAGGCGAACACCTGTAATGCCAGCACTCAGCACTGAGACAGGAACATCACTGCTAGTTCAAGGCCAGCCTGGGCTACATCGGGACACCCTGCCTCAAAACAAACAAACAAAAAAATGCAAAACTTCTAAACAGCTAGGAAAAAAATAGTAGAAACATTGTTAAAATCTGTTAACTCCAAATATACTGTAGCGGATCTAGATCTGAGTCTGATAAACAAGCAAAAGAAGATATAAGAACAGAAGTGTGGCAAAGACATAAAAAGGAATTCAAAGAAAAACAAGTGAGGAGAACGTGTGGGACATTTCTCATAAAGAAAGGCAGTCAGCAAGCTGTCATTTTTCCTTTCACCTGGTAGATCTCAAAGACGAAGCAGTCTGACCGCAGCTGGTTGGCAGGGTGTGGGCAGCGGACACTTCCGAATCCGGAGAGCAGGAGCAGGGCCTCGCTGGCTGTTGCTGTGGTGGTCGAGGGCAGAGGTTCAAGTGTCCCCACCTTGGAGCCCAGCCTCTCTGTCTAGCAATGTCCTTGATGAACAGCAGCGTGTGTGGCACTCAGTGTGTGCGTGGCTCATTTCCACGAGTGCACGTTCTGCTCCAGCCCTGCGCTGCGGTGAGAAGCACACAAGCCGTGGGGACACAGATGTCCCCAGTCGCATTGTTTACAGAGGCGGGAAGCTGGAGACAGCATCCATCATGGAATTCTCCTCGGCTGTGCAGCTGTATTTCCCGGGCTGAAATGTGACAAGGATGATGACAAACCATCTCTCTGTTGCTGGAAGAACCTCTGAGACCTTTGTGTTGTTGTTTCAAAAAGCAAATTATACAGCTGGGTGTGGGGGCGCACACCTGTAATCCCAGGATTTGGGAGGCTGAGGCAGGAGGATTGTTGTGATTTCAGCCTGAACTGCCCAGTGAGACCCTGTCCCAAAAAAACATAAATTAAAATGAAAATTAAAATTAAAGAAAAAAGCAAATTGCTATTAGGTTCGGTGGTACACACCTGTAATACCAACACTTTGGAAGCTAAGGCAGGAGGATCACCATGAATTTGAGGCCAGCCTGAACTCCACAGTGAGACTCTGTCTCCAAACACCTAAAAAAAAGAAAAAAGAAAAAAAAAGACAACTAATGCATGGTTTTAAAAAGGAGTCATGAAAGGAAAGCCTGGGCTACAGAGTGAGTTCAAGGTCAACCTAAAATTTAATCTGTCTCGAAAAAATAAAAGAAGATAATAATAAATAAAAGTCCTGGGCCACAGGTATAGCTCAGTGGCACAGTGCCTGCCTGATAAGCACAAGATCCTGAGTTTGATTCCTGGTACCAAAACAAAGTGAATAAAAGTTCTGGAACATATCACAAACAGAAGTAGCAAAGAAATACTGGTTGACAGGGAGATGTTTGTTTTTCATTTCATTTCATTTCTTCCTGTATGGTTTTACTACTTTTCAAGTCCCACACCATCTTGAGAACTGAGTTAAACAGCAGCACGTGTTGGAGCTCATGGAGGGTCAGGCACACAGAAGGCCAGGTGACTTCCAGAAGGAAGCCTGGTTCCCATGGCAGAGCGGGCCCCTGCCGGGGGTCAGCAGGGACCCCCAGGCTTCTAGTTCCTGAGAAGCCCTCATGCAGGACGTGGTGCATGGGGTGCAGTCAGGGGCTCCCCATCTTAGCCTGGTCCTGCTGGGGCACCTAGGCAGGGCTGTTTTGGCAGGCGCTTGGCACAGTTATCACCAGAATGTTCGTGTCTTTTAGGGGTTGGGGGCTGAGACAAGGTCTTGATATGTAATTCTGGCTGCCTTTGAACTCATGATGTGGCCCGGGCTGGCTCTAGCCTTGCAGTGTTCCCCCTGCCTCAGCCTCCTGGGTTCTGGGTTACAGGTAGATGCCACCACACCCAGCTTCAGAATCACTTCTGTTTCCAGCTTTCTGTCTTGCACACTTCTCTTGACTACCATAGCCAAGAGCAGGCCAGGGAGGCCCTTCCCGCTGGGAAGCACCTGTGGGTCAGACATCACGGCCGTGGGACACGGAAGCCAGTCGGGGTCCACACCCAAAAGACCCCTCCAGCCCTTCCCTGAGGCTCTTCGAGTGCTGGGAGGGTGGAAAGGGGGGCCTTGCTCAGGACTGCTGCCTGAGGGGCTCCCACAGTGGCCAGCCAGCAGCAAGGGACAGCGTCCAGATCCCTTGGGTATCAGAGGCTCCGTCCTTGCAGGGCCAAGGAGCCGAGCTCCTGCTGGGTTCTGATGATGCCTTGCATCTCTTCCAGGTACCGGAACTGTGTGTACACCTACAGGATCCTGCCCAATGAGGACGACAGGTTCACTGTCCAGGTAAGCTGTCCCACAGACGAAGAGACAGCACCTGTCCCCTGTGGCATGGACCTCAGGGCCAGGCTATCAGTCCTCCTCCCAGAGCCCCAGGGGTGGCTCTGGGGCAAAGCGTGACCCTCCCTGTGACCCTGCTCCTTGACCGAAGAAGCAGATGCGCCCGGGAGCATCCATGCCCGTGGGTGTGAAAAATGCTCTGTGGCAGAGGAGGAAGCCCCGATGAAGGAGGAAGTCTGCGTTTGTGGTTGTGCAGTGCGTTTCCCAGGCTCTGTCCAGCTTGGTAAAGAGAGAAGGGAGGTGGCCTCGCTGGAGGCCCCGAGGCTCAGCAGGCGACGGGGCCTTGCTCTGCAGAGCTGTGGCCATAGCGGTGACCACACAGGGTCTCACTGCGCAGGACTCAGGGCTGAATTTTAAAAAGAAAAATCACAGTGCCCCAAGCCCAGGGAGGCCACCCTGGGCCCGGGCCTGAGGGACACACGGAAGGACTCTGTCTGGCCACAGTGGAAGCTGTGGAAGCTATTTTTATCTGGCTGTATGGAGAGGACACGGAGGGTGGAGGAAGGCAAAAGGCGCAGGTCCTGGGGTCCTCAGCGGGGGTGGGGTGGGAGGCTCTGTGCATGCCTGCGTGATCCTGCCCGTGTGTTACCCAGACCTCAGGGGTCCTGGCAAGAGGCGCAGGACAGCTGGGAGTGACAAGGTTTGGTCATGTGGCACAGAGGAGCAACGCACCGGGAGGCTGGAGGGCTGAGCTGAAAAGAAAGTAGAAGTGAGAGGTGGAGAGACAGACCCACTGCCGGCTCCAGAGCCTGCTGGGCCTTTGATCCCAGCACTCAGGAGACTGAGGCAGGAGGATGGCCACAAGCTCCATTGTTGAGTTCAAGGCCAGCCAGAACTATACATCGAGACCCTATCTCAAAAAAAAAAGAAAACCCCAAAATAGAATGGTTGTTTCTGATGTGGGCCTGTCACCTGCCGGGGACACAGCCAGCGCAGGCCAGCAGTGGGCCTCAATGTGGGGACGGTGTGAACTTTCCCTGCAGCGTGGTGTCCTTCCGGGGTGTGGGGGCACAGGGGACCTCCTGAGCAGTCACAGCACTTCAGGTTAAAAGTTGCTCAGTGCCTTTGATATTCTTCCCCCACAGTTTCTTCCAGTCCTTCAAAGCGGGGGGAACTCTAAGTATGACTGGAAGGGACACCAGGCTGTGGCTTCCTTGTCTCGCGTGCAGACCGCAGCTGCCTGGAGCCTGCTCCCCGTGAGCGCTCTCGCTGTGCGGGGTGACTTCCTTGACATAGAGTCGCCCCCAGTCCTGCAGGGACTGTGAAGTTCGGAGCCTCTCTGGGCTTCAGGGTGGCACAGAATGCAGGTAACTTTGGCCACACTACGTAATTGGCAGGGCTGGGGCTGAGGGCGAGCTGCACCCCTGTGATTCAGCCCCTCACTGCAGGTCGGTGCCTTGGGGCTCCCTGTGTCCCAGGAGAGCAGAGTGGTGGGGACCTCAGCAGCCACCAGACTGCATGTGACTCTGATGTCCTAGAGGAGGGGCTGCTGGAATCCGGGGGACCTGCATGGCTTCCTTGGGCCACCTCAGCTGGGGCACCAGTGGCCAGTTTTCACAGACGGCAGCTGGCACTGGGGGACAGGGTTCCCACCCTGACCCCTGGCCTGTGACCAGCTTGGTAGCCTACAGAGGACAACAGGGCGCTGTGGTGCCCTGGGAATTTCGATCACACCTTCCTATGAAAACACACACCTTAATCCAGCATGGTGGCGCATGCCTGTAATCCCAGCATTTGGGAGGCTGAGGCAGGAGCATTACAGTGAGTCTGAGGCCAACCTTGGGTCCATAGTGAGACCCTGCCTCACAAAACAATCAAGCAACCAAAAAAAGAGGTGCACGTCTTAAAATAAAGGTCAGCAGAGGCCTGAGAAAGGCGAACTGGAGCGCAGGCCCAGAGGTTCCCAGAGGAGGCTTCGCAGTTACTGGTGCTGCTTTTAACTTGAGTTCCTCTTTTCATTTTGAGGCAAAAGAAACCCTCACACACTTTTCTAGACCTGGCTTCAGTTTCTAAATCACTCATCCCTCACACCGAAGTCACATTGGTGTCCCCAGAACCCAAGGTCCCCGAGGGAGGCAGCTGGTCCCAAACCAAGCCCTGGGCCCCAGGTCCTGCTCACTAGGGCGCTTTCCCTACAGCCACACACCCCGCGTGGCCTTGTGCTGGTCTCACGGGGAGGTGCCACCTCAGCTGAGAGGGGGGACTCCTCTGTCCCGTTTCCTCTGTCCTTGTGAGCCGGGAGACCCCGGACACTGACATGGTTCTCCCTGGTGTGAGGCCAGGGAGGAAAAGAAAAACAGAAGGAATAACAGGAGCTGCTAGGGGAAAGGTAGCGGAGAAAGAGGAAAAAAGAGGGGAAGGTAGAGAGGGAAAGAAAGAGAAGGGGAGGCCGAGTCCGGACAACAAGTGGAAGGCCGCAGGGAAGATGGCGGCAGTTTGGACAGAAGAAAAGACACAGTGTAAGCAGAGACAGCTGAGTTGAGTGGGACGGGGAGGAGGGAAGGTTGGTCTAGAAGATTCTCAGCGGTCCCCACGGTGACAGGAGGGAGACAACTCCCCTGGAGCCCAGCATCCCTCAGCTCTGCTCAGTGGTCCGGGGACTCTGTCGTCAGGGCCCCTGTGGCCCGTGGGATTGCAAAGCAGTGGCTCCTTAGAAAAACCTTCTGTCCCACCTGGACACCAGAGGTAGGCAGGACGCTCAGCTCTTGGAGAAAATGTGTCCCCCAGCTGGAGGGGTGCTCATGAATCCCATCTCCTTTCTGGAGCAGGAAGGGGAAGTGACGCTCTGCTTAGGGAAGTGACCGTCTTGGGCCCTGACCCACAGTGAGCTGTCCGGCCCCTGCCACTGCCAGGGAGGACCTGGGTCTTGGTTCTGGGAGAGTTTGAGGCAAGAGCAGCTGCAGAGAGGCCAGGACAGGCTTCGGACATCTATGGGGACAGCTGCCCAAGCCAGGAGCACAAACAAGCAAACGAGTCTCTTCGGCTGCTCCCACACCCTCCAACACTTGCACCCTTCTTGCCAAGAATAAAGTAAGCTAAAAACTGCTTGTGCTAGCCAGGCGTGGTGGCATCTCAGCACTCCAGGAGGCTGAGGCGGGAGAATCCCAGGTTAGAGCCCAGTCTGAGCAACTTAGTGACCTGGTGAGACCCTGTTTTAAAACAAAACATAAAGCACTGGGGCTGTAGCTGAGTGCAGACACTCTGGGTTTGACCCCTAGTGCATGAACAAAAAGCCTGCCCATGCTGCATCCCTGGGTTGCTGCGAAGTTCCCATACGTCGTGAGGCCGAGATCTGATCGCTGCTGTGAGGTCAGGACAGCCACATGGCACGAAGGGTGCATTTCCATGAGGAGGGGAACCGGGCCCTCACCTGTCCCATAGACTTGGGCCTCCTTTTCTAGATATAGAAGCAAGGCCAGGGAAGGGGCCTGCCCCGAGCTCTCCAGATGAGACCCTCGTGACTCAGACTCTTGGTCCCATCCTGGCTATCACACTGCCCTGGGCATCTCACTGTGGGACAGCAGGGCAGCCTGTGTGCTCAGGGCTGTTCCATCACGTGGTCGGCAGTTGTGCCTTTGTTATTAAGCTCAGGAAGCCGTGGCTGCTGTCACTGTGCTGCGTGAAATCAAGATTCCACTCGGGCTGCCTGGCAGAGGATGTGGCTGGAGCATCACTTCCTGAAGTCACCCAGGAGGGGACTGAAAAGACTCACGTGACAGTCAGGGCCAGAGGACAGCCGGACATGGGAGTCCTTTGTGTCATGACTGCCACATTCTGGGAGCTTGGTTTTGTATTTTTTTGTTTGTTTGTTTGTTTGCTTGAGATAGGGTCTCACTATATAGCCCAGGCTGACCTTGAACTTACTGGGACCTACCTACGTCAGCCTCCCAAGTGCTGGGGTTACAGGCATGCGCCACTGTACCCGATCTCACCGTGTGTGGCTTTAATTTCTATTTAAAATTTACATTTGCTGCTCTGAAATTCTCCTGGGAGCTCCCAGACCTCTCTGTGTTAGGATACTTGTAGCTGCAGGTAACAGAAAACCCTACTGGGCTGCTTGAAGAGGAAGATATTAATTATCTCATGAAACAGGAAGTCTAGGGCTAGAGTGGCTTCCAGGCTGGTGAACTCCGTTTCCTGAATGCAGTGGCACCATCAAGAACTCACCTTTCTGCTCTCCCATCAGCCCAATAGCCTTTCTTTCCAGCTGCTTCTCATGGTTACAAGAGGGCAGCTGTAGCTCTGGCTGTCACATCCATGACAGCTTCTAAGGTCAGAAATACAACCACTTCATCCTAAGACAAATGGGCTGTTCTGGGGAGCCCCATAGAAGGCTTCTCCCCACACTTAATTGACTGCATTTATGTTCCATTCCCTAGTCAGCACTCACCAATGCATGATCAAGTTGGAATCAGCCCTGTGCTATGTGGGGGGCATCAAAAAATGAAATGGACCCACTGTCCAGGCCAAGGGGACCAAAAGTCTCTAGAACATAGCAAAGCAGAATCAAGATGGTCAGAATGATGGGAAATTTAAGAAAATGTGTGCCCATTTGAGGCACAGATGATAAATACTCTGGATACGATTTCACTCAAAATTCTCCAAGACCCCTGCGAAAGGGCTGAGACCCCACAGCCACACAGAGAGGAGAATGGTGGTGGCCTGGTCACAATGGCATGTGTGCCCAGAAGGCTAGAGAACGAGAGGACTCGGCTTTCTATGGAAGTTCTGAGAAAGAAACCAATCAGGATAGCATAAGAGCAGATTCAAAACCCAAACAGAAAGGCAGGCGTGATGGTGCACGCCTGTAATCTCAGCACTCAGGAGGCTGAGGCGGGAGAATTGCTGAGAGTTTGAGGCCAGCCTGGGCTACATAGTGAATTCAAACCCAGCCTGAACTGCCTAGGGAGATCCCCTCTCAAAGAACACAAGCATGAAAACAACAA